GCAATGATCAGAAAACCAGTTGAGAATACATCGCTGGAGCTTCTCGACGTAATCGAGCAACCACGTCCAAAGGATCAGCAGAAAGTTGAGTACAATTTAAGCGTTAATCATTTTGGCCGTTTGATTTTCCTTCTTTTTGCGGTCAAAAATTTTGACAGAAGGCGAAAGACCGCGCATCATAGATACCGGAAAAATTAATTCTCAAATCCCCGTATCTACTTTCAGAAGTCGCTGTCAAAATTGCTTCCACGATGTGGCGAAATTCACAATTGAAATATAAATGGAAATCAAGTTATTTGATTCTGTCTCCTCGGCCTGTTCTAGAATAATTCATGTGGATTGAACTCTGGTTCATATAATTACCTAATAAACGTGATCTAATTGCGATCGTTTCTCAATATCTTTTTATAATTTTTTTTAATGCGGGATGATCTCGGAACAACGTGCGCCAGCAATGACTACGTCGGAAAACACTTTATGCTCATTTATCCTATATTATTTCTTGAAGTTTTGCAAGTGTATTGTTTCCCAAGAACGCAAATAAACTAAAAATTTAACATGGTTAGTTACAAGTGTTTAAGGTGGATAAATGTATAATATCGCAAATTTGAGAAATGAGAGAGAAATTTTTTCTCGACCGTAAATTACCTTTCACCGTTGCACGTATGATCTCGTACTTGGACTTGGTTCAGTCAAACATCTCAGACACATTCCAGATGATCTTGGCTACAAACTAACTCAAGTACCCTTTCCGACACGAACGGATCCACACTCAAATCAAATTAATCTTATGTCCTCCATTGACTACCGTAGTGATTACTAGGTCAATTGAACAAAAATAATGTATCGGAAAGGTTCTATGAATTTTTCTGGATATCACTCACTGTCACAGAGCAAGTAACTCCGACCTATTCATGGAGTAGTGAATGAGTGAGTTCATGAGCTGGCAACATCTCACGGATTCTCACCCAAGTTTAGTCCGGCTCATGTGAATCCCAGCTGACCGAAGCTCAGTCTTTCCCGCTCGCGGTAACGAAATGGTAATTAACTTAGCCAAGATCAATAGTGGAATTGGGGTTGATCTGAACATTTTAATTTAATCTATAGGTTTCATGTCTGGCTAACCATTTGGGTTTGGAAATATTTTTAATGGATACGGTTGTGCTTTGTGCAACATTAATTTTTAATTTGTAGTAATGCGCTCCAACTATCTAGAGCATGGTTGAACTATATATACTAGTTCAACCATGATCTAGAGATCGTTATCCACCTCTCGGCCTCTTGTACGGCCGGACATCCGGCCGGTCTAGAAGGTTCGGAGAACCTCAATTAAATAGGTATCTCCCACTACCGAACGACGGCGAAAAAAATTATTCCCTACTTCAACATGAATGTTCGGTGGTAAGTTATACAGAATTGGAATTGCCTATTCAAATCTGAACAGTAGGGTAAAAGAAATATTAAGCTCACTTCGAATTTTGTTCCGTTTGACGTATAACTGGTAATAGTCAGCGACTTCGAAGAAGTGATCACTAACTGGACATCACGGCTAGGATCTATTAAACACGTGTGCGAAGTTTCATCGAACTGCGTTCATTAGTTAGATATTTTAGGCTCACTGAACCTTGTAGACCGGCCGTCAAGAGGCTATTTAAATTTTAACTCAATTTTTTCATGAGTTAGTTCTCAGAGGAAACAATAGTAGATAGATTGATAATTCCACGCATCAAAATATTCATTAAAAAAAATCCTTCCCAAAATCTCCATCAAAAATCCATTTTTTTGCTTCCAAACGATAATTTGTCTTTACATTCCTGCTACTTATGAATTCACAAGCCCCAAGCTTGTCAAGGATTTTCAACTAGCTTCGCGAAAGAAATTTATAATCTATTCTGTCAAGCACTTACTGACTTTTCAAGTTTCTTATTAAAATGGTGGCTTATTCAGCACAATTATAAAGGAATATTGAATGATGAACTAAGAGTATTTCGAAAACAGTTCGATACATCACTGAGACAGTGAGTTTCTCGACAAAATCAACTCGTTATGTCCGAAAATATAGTTTTACTCTGATGATGGAAGTCACAAACGTTATTACTCGCATAATCTTTAAGACCGATGATGTAGATGCAAAACAGTTTACAATACATTTTATTTCAAAAAAATTTGAATCATCACAAAAATTACAAAATCAGGTTATATGGGTCAGGATACGCGTCTAGGTTTAAAAAAAAGCTATTATTCCAAATATAAAAATTTTCACAGGAAAATCATGATTATGCTTTAAGTAAATTAGACAAAATTTTGACAGTGCTGATAAAATCAAGCGCAGAAATCTTTAAAACTTCTAGTATACATTAGATTGTTAGAAAAACTTGAGAGATCAAAGCAATTCGAGCAAAAAATATTTCCGGCAAAATAAATTATACGTCATCATACGGTCCAATGGTAGCATTGCAGCTAAAATTATAAGATCGGAGACGCGAAATATCTTTTAAACTTGAGCGGATCAGAAGATGGGAGTTATTCAGAAATGGAGGGCATTCAGAGCTACAATTATTCTCGCGTTACCAGCGCATAAGCCGGCAATCTGGTGATAAACAGTACGTATCGAACTAAATAAATCAACACTCGGAATATTACACAGCTTCAGGGGTGTTTGCTCATTATAGAGAAGTCTCATAAGCAATTTCATACTAATCTTGAGAACGGTGATATCAGTACAACACTCGAAAAAATTCTAATTCAATTTGTAGTTTCATCGCCATTGCAGTTAATTTTATTCAAATGAGCAATTAACCCTTTAATCATGACAACGTTGATACCAATACAACACTCGATACAAGCATATCATATTATATAAGTATATATAAGAATATACGCCCACATGAATCATGGAAAAATTGCAATTGATCGTCTGGATTACGACGTCGTCATCACACAGACAGTAACACAACTCCTACATATATATGTGCAAGCAGCATAACGCTGTTAGCTATAACATTAGTCTAATTGATATAACAACATGAAAATGTTGGTGAGAAGGCACGAATGGTGTTAATACAAGTACTGAAAAGAACAAATAAAGCTTAACTTTTTAATAATTGAACTCCGCTTGCCGACATGGAAAATTGAAATTGTCATAAGTTCGAATAGGAAAAAATTCAGCAATATTGAAACAGAGATCTGTTCACCATGCATTTTTCGAAGGAAGTTTAGTAAAGCTAACAATCATACGAGAGCTGACACAGCTTGAAGCGATGTATCTGTGAACTCGAGAGCAAGTAGATCTTGACCATCTCAGTGTAGGAAAACCTTCATACTGATACAACGAAGATTATCACAATAGAGGATTGTGTCACTACCAACTGAAATACTTGCACGGTATTCCTTAAAAACGTGAAAAAATATTTGAAAATGCATATGCCAAAAATTAACATAGCTGAAGTTGGTTTAAAATTATTTCCATTTCATTCTTATATAAAGTTCATACAAAATTCAGTCTCAACTCGTACTTACTATATAAGTGACATCACAGAGCAAAGCGTATAGCGAGATGTTGCAGTAGTTGTATAGAACCTACAAGTATCCTAATCCAGCAATCTTGCACCATAGGTTAAACACTATTTATCGCTAGCAGTAAAGATTCTCGATTTTTGCATACGTTTTGAAGGAATGTTCTTCATTAAAAAATGTGATGAAAAGCTGGAAATGACCTATAAACATAAGTTGAAGAGGTATAACAACCGTTAGTATCACATAGAAAAGCCAAAGAAGAGAGCGTATGGGTCGTCGTGACTCCCGAACATGAAATGCGGAGAAGGGAGATGCAAGGCAAACTTCCTGGATCAAAATTCAGCACCACAACGGATCAACCCAAGGCTCAGTGGAAAGCGCCCCTAAGCACTTATTTCAGGCTCACTAGTTACACAAGGCTCAGTGGAAAACGCGCCCAAGCATTCCTTTCAGGCTCACTAGTTACACAAGGTTCAGTGGAAAGCGCGCCCAAGCATTCACTTCAGGCTCAGCGGTTACACAAGGCTCACTGGAAAACGCGCCCAAGCATTCACTTCAGGCTCAGTGGTTACACAAGGCTCAGTGGAAGGCGCGCCCAAGCATTCACTTCAGGCTCAGTGGTTACACAAGGCTCAGTGCGCCCAAGCATTCCTTTCAGGCTCACTAGTTACACAAGGCTCAGTGGAAAGCGCGCCCAAGCATTCCTTTCAGGCTCACTAGTTACACAAGGCTGAGTGGAAAGCGCGCCCAAGCATTCACTTCAGGCTCACTAGTTACACAAGGTTCAGCGGAAAACGGGCCCAAGCATTCACTTCAGGCTCAGCGGTTACACAAGGCTCACTGGAAAACGCGCCCAAACATTCATTTCAGGCTCAGTGGTTACACAAGGCTCAGTGGTAAGCGGGCAGAGCACTTTGACGCGCTAAGGGTACACACACAGTGAAAGCAGGTTGCCAGCGTGTTGGTTACCTGCTCAGGCTGGCGCCTGAAACCATAGAATACAGAAGCCTATTCGTACAGGTTTTCACTGTGAACACTTACATTATTATCCTATGTTCTTTCTTGTGGCAGGTTGCCCGCGCGGGCAAACCTGCTTCCACTGTGTGCGTACCCTAAGGCGATATCAATGTAAACGGGGATCTTATTCAATATATGATAGAGTTTATACGAAATGAACTTGAACATGAGCATCTTTGCTCATGTGTAGGCTTCATTTATATAATGTTACAAGGTGTCAATAACGAAGCAGATATTTTTACACATTGTCAGTAAACTTCAAAACATCGATCCTTTCATCAGCACCCAAAATGAGTCGATTGAAGCAGAAAAATTCTAATCATGAATAAAGATCAAGTAAAAGCGAGTCACTCGGTATTCTCAAAACAGAAAAAGAGGAGCTTATGCATTTAAATATGCATGCATTATGCATGTATCACTCTCAGATGAATATAAAATACAAATAAAACTAAAAAGCAAAGAATTAGATTAGAAATATAGATAGGGTAAACCTCTTAATTAAAACAAAAAATTCAACAGAATTTTGGAAATTACCTTGAAAGATACTACTAAGAAAGGTTGCTGCATGACAACAAAAGCTGGTTTGACATGCTGCTAGCATAACGAGCGGCAAAATATAATTTCTTATTTAGCTCTTCTGTGAATAATAAAGGTGTCGGTAACACTCTCCTGTACCTGAAATTTGAATAAAATTTGCTGTATAATACGTACAAATAAATTCACAAGAGCTGCCACCAAAAACGAGAAAAAGCAGTTTGAAAGACTACCTCCTTCTAGTTCATTTGCATGAGTAAAATGAGTCAAAGTTGCCCGAAATTATATTCCAATTTGATCTGGATGAATGTACTGCACAGATTTCGAGAAAACTCTTTTGTAAAATAAACAAAAAGGAAAACTTCATGAAAAAAATTCCTCTATAACGGGTATTAATCACAGTACACAACATAAGCTGGGTAATTAAGCAGTACACATTAATTAATCATAGTACACAACATAAGCAGGGAAATTAACCACAGTACACATTAATCATAGTACACAGCATAAGCTGGGTAATACTCGTCATCGTTATACTTGACAAAAATAGTGGGGTTCGAGGTACTGTTGACAGTGGTGTCGTAATGCATGTTGGTGGCGGGGTTCTTGGGTGGGTAATCCATGCTTTTATTTCCCACGCAAGCATCGCCAACAAGAACCATGGCAAGCAAGATGACTTTGGGCGATCCAGACGCATAACCGTGCGACACGCGGGCTTGGTTTGAGAAGTAGGTGCCTCGTCCATAAACGCACCCAACGTTTGTTCCATAGAGACGCCAATCTAGGTTTCCTTCATAGATTTTGTCGAGAACGGACGCCTTAGTGCCATGGAACATGTATTGTTCTTTCAGTCGCTGAACGTCCCCTTTGAACAGGTGCACCATCTTCTTTTTCTTCAGCTGATAATCATCCCAGAGAAAGCTGTTCTGGATACGGAATATTTTGTGGATGCTGATTCCACTAAGAGTGGTACGGAATATATTATCCACGAAAATATACTCATTTGAGCCAACAGCAATCTGATCCACGGAGAAGACACCATTTGATATAGTCTCGTTCCAAAGCTTCCTGAAGTGAATTGGCTTGTTGTCTTGCATCTGAGTTGATAAAATTTTAGCAGGCCTCCTGATCAACCGCATGCCATATTGCATGAAATTCATATTCACTAGATCGTAAATGTTTCCATTCCGAGTTCTTACTTCTGATTCTCCGTTTTGCAGGGCTCTTTCTAAACAGTCGCTGAGGGCCAACTGATAAAACTTGTCCGTTTCACCGTGAGTGAGGAACGTGGGGCTTCCATACTGGCTTTCCAAGAACCACAACCATCGAGTGTTTGTACCCATGTTGGCAAAAATATCAGAAGGTGTTGACAAACGTCGCACCTGGAATATTTTCATCTTACTTGAGCGGAAAGTCATACTTCTGAAATCAAAGTCACCGGTAGAGCCGTTTTGGCCAAAGATCTTGCTGAGATGATGTTGATCTGAGGAGTCTGACTTGGTTTCTAGTGTTAAAGTTACTTCATCCTTGGAGGGATCACAGTAAGCCTCTTCGAGACTTTGATTCAGGGGGTCGGGAAGGCGAACCCAGGTGCCGTCCTGTATTTCCCAGGAAAATTTTTGCTTCATGTGAATATTTCTACAGTTTTGGTGCACGCACCTGCCAGCTAAGTAGTGAGAGCAAATCATTGCTCCTGTTTCATACTTGCTTCTTGCTCTCCGACCAAAGTCGACATTCTTCTTCAGCTGTTCTTTGAGTTGATCTTCACTAAAACGTTGGTCTACCAGATATTGAGTTAGCATTTGATTGTGAGTTGAGTTGAAGCTGTGATCACAATCACAAGAATTGGAATTACACTGTCCATTAATCCACTTCAAACAAACGTGAAAACGATGGCAAAATTTCTGGCAAACAAAGTTCCGCTGGTTGTAGATGTTGCAAACCCTCAAAATATGACGATCACACCTAGAGCTCCGCGGTACACAGCCTAAATCTGGTACCAATTTGTTTGTTGAAACTGCTTTTTCTACAACGTAATCATGGACATCATGAGTGACGTTCACAGTAGCAGGTGAAGCCGAGCTAGCAGTACTGGCAGAGCCAACTTTAGCTGTGCCAATTGACACGTGATCTAAGCCAGGCAGTAAAGATTGCACTGAAGGCGTGGGACGTCCATGAGGAGTTGGCTGAGCTGAGGTTGCTGCCAGAGTAGTTGACTGGGCAGAGGTTGATCCTCGAGAAGTTTGCTGGGGAAGGGTGACTCCTGAAGTAGTGCTGTAGAAATAGTACAGAATTGTTCCAGAAATTTATATAAATATTTCTGATCAAAGAATAGATAGATTCAAAGAAGAGTTATAGTACAGAAATTAATCCTAAGAAAATAATAAGTGGGAGAAAGCAGTTTCATTTGATAATGGCTGAGAAGCAATATTTCTTTAGCAAAATGATGACTAGTTAATGGTGTGAAAGTTTACAAATAGATGGCAATAAATTTCATCGGAGATTTTAGAGAACCTGAAAAATACTTTTTAGATAGAGAAAACTTTTGGGAGAGATGTGACTGGCACTGTGTCCATTGATACCTAATGAAATTAATTTGATGATCTAGGGATCTGAAAGCAGCTGTCTGCATGGCAGGGGAGTATACACATCAACTGCAGAAGATTCACTGCCGTCAAGTGGGGCGACTTTGGCCACCACAACAACAGAAACAGATGGCAGCAAAACAAAATAATAAATAAATGTTGGCCAAGGTGACTGGGGTGACTTTGGCCAACGTTTATTATTTTGTTTTGCTGCCATTTGTTTCTGTTGTAGTGGTGGCCGAAGTCACCCCCACTTGACGGTACCAACCTTGAACCTTGCCATATCATTACTAAGTACCGGTACTAACAGGCTGAGGAAGAACATTCAAAATGTTACATAGGTCTACCCATTTGTTGAAATTTCATTGGATTCTTTCACAATACATATATATGGCTGGCTGTAATTTTAGAAAACCATTGCTAAAACAACAATTGCTTAACAAAATGCATAGTAATTTTGGAAAAATTAACAACAGAAATTTATCAAATACAACCTGTAGTAACTGGAGTAGTTATTGACTGGGCTGCTGAATGAGGGGTAAGCTGGAGTGTAGGCTGGGGAGGCTGTGGGTTTTGGTGCAGGAGGTGGGACCGTTGGAGTACTTTGGCTGCTGAATGAGGAGTAATGTTGAGTGTAGGCTGGAGAGGCTGCGGGTTTTGGTGCAGGAGGCGGGGCCGCTGGAGTACTTTGACTACCTCCCATGATGCCCTGACTCGATCTGAAACACAGTTTTGAGTTATTCCCTGCATCTATTTTAGGAAAACCCTTACTAGAACACAGATACAAGAAACTACTAGGGAAAAACTTGATCTTCCTAAGCAATATTCCAACAAGAGGCCCAAATTCAGAATATTATATACAGCAATATATAACATAAATTAACTTTCAATTTTGGCCACTTCAACAGCCATGTATAATGGCAAAAGTCAGAATCTTCCCATTGCAAATTTTTTACAACTGTCTGGGATGATTCAAGCTCCTAGGCTCTCATCAATATGTTGCATATAAAAATGATGATGTTACTGCCTGCCACCTAACAAATCCAAGAACATGATACATGAATAATGAACATGATGACTTTTATTGCTTGCTAAACTGTTATCTTGTCTTGTGAGCCAGCAGGGCAAATGTGCTTAGAACTCTAAATAAATATATAAGCCTCCAAATTGAGTAATTTTTTATTCAAATGGCCTTAGAAATATTGTTTCTATGCCATTATAATGCCTAGCTTCGCTAGAATTTATTCTTCTTGAATCACAAATTGAGCTTTCTTGCCATTTCTGAGTCTACTATTCTTATGGGAAGCTCTCTGAAGTATTAATAATTAGATAGGTGTCTTAGTATGACTGAGGGTGTTTACTGGATCAGGGTTTTCAAATCAATGGTTTGATTGATGGTCTCCACCTCCTCTACAACCATCCTCAACCACCACTTTGGTTAATCTTTTATGTTTTTGCAAGTTTCATTTATTTACAAAAGTAAGTTAATGATGGCAATTACCTAAAAAATTGCAGGTACAAATGGAGAACAAAGACAGGGATAAAATCAAGGCACGGGAGCTGACATGTGAATTGTAATAACTCATGATTTCCATGGTTTGCATTTTTCATCCAAGTCTTGAAGTCTCAAATCAATTAAAAATGTGATTAGTTTGAGGAGTGCACTTGATCAACATTAGAGGGATCTTTATACATACTATACTTAACAAGGATTTATCACTCATAGTAGTGAATTGACCAATTTAACACTCAATGTTAAAAAAGCATCTTGTGCATCAGGAAATGGAGGTTTGCAAGCATGCAGTGACCACTAATCAGCAACTTCTCCTTCTTCCTTGTAGCGAATGGAACTAGGTCTTCCCACAAGACCTTATTTCTGGTAATGTTTCAGAGAAAGTTTCAAGTCAATCTGGGATATTGAATAGAATATTTAAAAAATTGCAGGTAAAATCCATAATTTAAATGCAATTCTCAAATCTCAGGGGTGGTAAGCAAAAATGTGGCCCTTTTCTTGCTTATTAAAAAATGAAATAGGCATGAATGAATGAATTTTTATAAAAGAAATTAGAAAAGGGTTATGAAAATGGGCAAAATTGACCGTTTTTAGCACATTTTCTCATTAATGGAAAAAAATGCGCTATTGTGCAAGTACTAAGTAATGTCCATCTGCCTGTCTGTCTGTGACTTCACATTTTTGTAGATGAGAAAATGTACTCTCTGTCACTCACTGCAGTGAGTACTGAGTTACATGTATTTTTCATCTTATTTACAGGTAGCTTCTGCCAAATTTTCCTGGATAGGGTCAGAAGAGTTTGGATAATACTGAGCAGAAATTTTGCAAAATTGAGGGTAAACCAATTCATTTCACAGTTGATCTTTGATGCATGTGAAATTACAGGAAAATAGGCACTTTTCCATATTTTTCACTTAAGAAATTAGAAAAAAGCCATATCAAAAGGTGAAATTGGCCAGAGACAGAGAGGCATTTCTGTCCAATTTTTGGGTGACTTCTGCCAAAATTTCCAGTTGGGATTAGAGCTTTCCCAGTAAATCCCACAATTTCAGAAGTTCAGAACCATGTGATTCCCACAAGTCTACAACCACAAGATACATTACCTGGCTGAGTCTGGCTCCTATCAAAATAATCAAATTGTTATCAAAGGTGCACAATGGGGTAGCACAGGATTCCAGATCATTGATGTAATTAAAATTCAATATTTTGGAGCCACAAGACTAGGGTAAATGGGGTATATTTTGACACTTTAAGGACGTAGCAAAAAAGCAATGGCTATAAAAAATACACGGTACGTGCATACAAGTTCTGTTTGCTTTATGTCACTCTCAAAACACTGCACTATGCGCCAGCAACAATGAAACTGTCACAAAATGTTTTAGCATAGTTCTGTTCCAAAATTTATTGTCCTTCGACAAGTGGCCGTTCGACCGAGGGCTGGTTCGACCCACAGCCTAGATAGGGACCACTTAAAGTGCTGAAGGCTATGTTCTGGGAGGCAGGAATCATGATGGTCCATTACATCCAGGGCAGTGGTGGTCTTCGGCAGGCAACCCACATCATTCAATAAATCGTCAAAGTTGTTTTTTTTTTCCTGTTGTTTCCTGTCACAGGCACAAACCTATCTATTTACAATTTTGAGGGGATATGAACTGTTAGTGGCATTTAAAATAGGCTTTTGTTTAAAAAATATAAAGGGACTCTGAAATTTGAAGTTGGAAACACCAGTCAGCGGTCGCCGGTCGGGGAGGCTAAAATTTGAAAATCACTATCGGACACTGGCACGTTGCCCTGCTTGGCATGGACGAGTACTGCTGAATGAGGGGGATTGGCAAACAGGTTTCCGGTTCTAAAACTCCTTCCTTCATGCTCCGCCAGCCTAGTATAAAAGTTGCGAGATGTCATACCAACATACGCAGATGCGCATAGCGTACAACTATATTGATAAACTAGGGACGATTGCATAAGAACAGTAAGTGTGTCTTTATACTTGAAAAAAAAATCGGATTTTAAAATTATTTACCAGCAATACATGAAGATTTACATATGGGAGGTATTTAGAGAACAAACATTTCAACTCCTTAGTCATAGACTCAGAAGCGGGACCATAGTAAAGAAATGAACAATAAACAGCATTCCTATGGTCATGTTTGGGAATAACTTCAGAATATTGCTTAGACAAAAATTTCTTAATTTGAGTATATACCAATTGCGATGGAAACCCATTACGTAAAAACGTACTGCGTAAAAATTCAGATTGCATCGTATGGAAAGTTGAGCAGATACAAAAGCCTTGGTTTATTAACGTTCAAAAACCATTTAATTTGAAACAAAATGAACAAAAGCTAAAGAAGCTGGTGCATAAACTGGTAAACATTGATTTTTGGTAAACAGAGGTCTGAAAACGGCCATTCGATTATGTGACATTGTAATCAAGAAAATATAGACTATTGTTTGATTCTAGCTCCATGGTAAACTTGATGGACTTGTGCTGGAGATCAAGATAATAAAAAAAGGCCTACATATGAAGGATGCTTGAAAATTAAGAAAGTGTCATCAAAATACCAGTTATAGAATAGTGGCTTGAAATCAAGTGGACAATTGGCCAGCCATGTAGCCTCGTGAAAACACATGTAAAATGTTTGCAAAAGTAGGGCCGAGAGGAAAACCCATGCCCAAACCGCCAATTTGTCTATAAAATTTTCCAGCAAATATAAAACTGAGTTTAAAACAGATAATTCAAGAAGAGATTTAAAACAGGTGAGGTTCAAACCCATGACACAGTCATTGACACTTTTAAACAAAGAACTTAGGCAGATATTGATAGTTTCATGGAGGGGTATATTGGTAAACAAATACCCCTCCATGGATTAGGTTTGTTTACCAATATACCCCATCCAGTTTCCATACTGGAAACTGAAATGCTCAAGAACAGCAAAAAATGCCAACACTCTACCAATCACAAAAACCAGACTAATCCCACTAATTACTTGGATCTGGCAGCTCTAAGCTGACATTTCATGAATAAATTTCGAAATTGTGGCTCAATTGTGCACTTTTGTTAACAATTAGTTACAAGGTATTTTCCTACTGTTAAACTGCTACTTAGCTGTCACACTTACCTTGCTGCAGGTGCTGCTTGTTGCTAAAAAAACATATAATGCAGGTGAAAACCCAAACTGGCTTATCAGGCAAAGTTTTCCAAGAATTAGGAGTAAAAACTATTACTTTACTGGCAGTTTTTTAAAAATGCTAGCAAATATGTGCTGTTGCTCTTATTTTTTATGATAGAAATTATTTTTTAATTTAAATCTTGTGGCTCCAAGTCAAATATTTTTGATAAATTTTCAATCATTTCTTAGAATCATTGGGCCTCATCTCGGAGCTAATACCAACAATGAACTCACTATGGCCATGGCTTCAGAGTGATATTAGGGAGCTGTTATTAAGTGGATCTTGAAGTTGAAGGTATAGGAGCTCACCAGGACCTCTACAATTGAAGTCAATTTTTCCTGTGATGCCTTTACCTCATAGGTAAATATGTTAATTCTAACAGCATTTAAAAGGAAACATATGTGTTGGCATTGGCAAGCAAAAACAATATTTTGGTGGCCAGGGATTTGGCTACTGTGCCTTAACATGTAACAGCGGAAACAGCCTATGTCCCCCCCCCCACTATTGCATGGCATGTGGTGCCGGTGGCACCCATGGGGCATGGAGTATTAGAGTGCATCTCTGCAGGATCTCAAAACACTGAAACTGTGGGGTGCCCACATGGCTAGCTATGGTGGTTATCCAAAAATAAAGCAGTCTTCTTCTATAGAGTGAGAGAATGGTCAGCACTGAGCCTTTCATACAGAGATGTAGTAAAAGGTGTATATATGTTGTAATCCAAACAGGTGATGAACCAAAAATAACCTTGCCTTAACAAATATTTTTTTAAATATATTTAAAAATAATATAAAAATATATATTTCAGTCTCAGGATTTCCACAATTGCCACCAGTTTCCACCTGAGATAGAACCTAGAATATGTCAAAAACTTTAATGCCTTTCATACAGTACATGCATTAATTTTGATTCTTCTAAAACCAAATCAATTTAACTTAGCATGTATATATGAATTACTAGTAAGATAAATGTAAATGTATGGTGACAATAGGGTACGTCCGGCACTAAGAACCCGGCTGGCTTTCTCGCCCCT